TACATAAACCTTCCGGGCTTTTTAAAACACACAAAAATGCATAAATGTAATGCCGCGAAAGCACCAAGGTGTTTGTATATCGGCACATCTCCTGCTTCGACTTCTGGTGATGGGTAGTGCATGACGTTACAGCCTTCTAGGCCTACATGTATCACTGGTAGGCACGACAATGGCCGTACCACTTTGGATTGATTTCATCGAACCATGATATGAGTATAGTGGGGATGGATGGTGTTGCCGCAACAGGCAACGACGAGGCTGCACTGCCGCAGTGGAGAGCAAAGTGCATATTGGTCGCTCAACGGTGGTACGCAGGTAGCATATATAAGCCGAACGGCGACAACTTCAGGTGTCGCGCATGTTGTCTTCGACTTCAAGCGATGTGGTTCCAGTACATCAGTAGTGGGCCCGATATGCCTTTTAGGCTGGTGTGGGCTATGCTAATAAAAAAAAAACTCAATCTAGAGTTGAGACAGGCATGCCCAATAACAATACGTCTAGCATGTGCTTGTTAAGACAAAGAAAATTCAATCTACTATCGTGTGTGTGTGTCTATATATATATATATGTGTGTGTGTGTGTGTGTGTGTGTGTGTGTGTGTGTGTGTGTGTGTGTGTGTGTGTGTGTGTGTGATCTTCAGGATTGGTCTAGTAGGGCTTGAAGCATATATGCATGTGTGTGTGTGTGATCTTCAGGATTGGTCTAGTAGGGCTTGAAGCATATATGCATGGCAGCACGGATCAATAACTACAAAAGTAATAACGTGCAAAGATCTAACAGGCTAGCATGTGAGCATCATTGATCGCGGTCTATGGAGCGTACAAAAAAAAATACTAGTAGAACACATCGGATGTAAAAAAATCTACTAGTCTTGTGTGTTTTAGAAGATCTACTAGAAATATTAAAATCTACAGGATTTATAATATAAAATCTAGTAGAACAGTAATGGCGAACAGATTCAACGACAAACCGTGGTACATTTGTTATCGTTGTGGAAAATCCGTGCCGCGTAGGGCATAAAGGCAAGGCCAATGGCCTGCCTTTGCGACGATGAGTCGAGACGTGGTCGCAACGTTGTCGGCCAACAGTTCTCTGACAGACTTGTTGCCGAATCTTCTCCACGCGTGAGATCGGGCTCGCCCTTGTGGCCGAGGGCCATGGCGCGTGTGCACTCAGCCATAGGCGGCGCTCCAAGATCGGGAGCAACCCCCGGTGAATCAAACATGGAGCGGAAGACAAATTTGTGATTAGCCACAATCCAAATTTATCCAATTCTAATAAAAGAAAAAGAACGTATCCACTTGTCTTTGTCCTCCAGTCAAACCCGTAAAATTAATCTACCAGATTAAATTTAGTAGAATGATTAAACAGAAAAGTAACGTAGACAAACCGTAGCCTCTCGTATCGTCGATCCGATCCACGGATCGGGTGATGATCGTCATCGTAGTATCGTACGCGTCCTCCACACACGGTGTATCACTACATCACTAGGCCTGGACAAAATACTCACGGCTTTTCAACTCGTTTGACTCGTGGCCGGTTCGGCTTGATTCGTTTTTTTTTTTGAGCTGAGTTAGAAGTCTAGCTCGCTGTTTTAACGAGTCAGCTCGAGCCATTTCACGAGTTGCTCACGAGCTGAGGCCTATCAACCCACGACCATGAATCTAAAAGATAATAATACTGACCTAGAAATGTCAACATATTCTATTGGTACATAATCCTTATTTTTGGCTGTTTTATATGGATTTTGATTTTATAATTGTCGTTGTACTTAAATATTGATTTATGGATTATTTTTCAGGAAGAAGATGATGATGATGATATTGAATTTGTGGACTTTCTTAAGTCTGTGGTAGCAAATAACTAGTAAGTATGTTGGAACTGCATGGATCATCGATGGACTAACTATATTGCATGGTTGATACTTTTGATGAACCTGATATATATTAATCATGTATGGTTACATAATAGTGAACGTGATCTTCTGAAATTAATGTAGCATAAATATTATAAAATATGTGATCTATTTTTTTATATTAACTTACAAGCTAAATAAGTCAATTCAAGCTCGCTAACAAATCAAGTTACGCTACCCTCTAACAAATAATATTAACAAGCTGAGGCTAGCTGAGCCTGCTCGAGCTCAACCGAGCAAGCCCGATATCCAGCCCTACCGATCAATACGTACTTACACAGCACGCAGCACGACTGGATCGGATCGATCACTCGCGCGCGCGCGGATCCGTCCGTATCCAGTCTTGTCACGTCAAGATCCAGCGCCCTGTTGGATACGCCTCTCTCCCGCGCCGCAACGGAAGGATCCAAAACAGTCAGCGAGTCAACGAATCGAGCAGACCGGCCGAGCGGAAATTGATCTAAAATTGAACAATGAAGAACGACAATCTCAAATGGAAGAGCGGCTAATAACGTGTTGAGAATCGATCTATATACGGATCGGGAGATCCGTGTTTCGGTTCCTAATAAAAGAAAGACGTTTAGAAGTCGTAGATTGATCCCATCTTCTTTGTCCAATCAACAAGAACAATATACAAGAACACACACGAGACAAAGGTATACGAGGAGAGAGCCATCTTTTTATTAGTTCTTTCATGTATACATCTGGTCTCTTTATATAGATGCCTTCAGGGCATATACGGTATAAGCCTATTAGAGCATATATGGTATGAGTCCATCAATCTTCTAATTGAGGAATTCTTAACAAAACCAATAGCCAAACACGGCGCTTTTTTGTAGCTTATTTCGGCCACGTTTATTCTCACCGCTCTCATTTATACTAAAAAGCAAAAGTTGAATCAAATCAGCTTATTTTAATCGTCGCTTTTACTTTGTTTGTGCCGCTTATCTAGAAAGCGCTTCCCAGATAAACTGTACCAAACATGGCCTAAAAACGGTCGTTTGGATAGTTGAGACCTGTGAGTGAATTTAAGATCTATTTGGCTTGCTTCCTCATGTTGCCGAGCCGTAGGTGCGGCACGCAAAACTCCGGTGAACAAATCATGCACCAAAGACTGCAGAAATCTGAAGTGGAAACTGTGGCAAGCCGAAGGTGCAGCAAGTTGCGATAGCAATCCAAACGGGAGACCAAGTTTTATGGCAAGTTTTGGCAAGCTAGGTAGCAATCAAATACACCATTAGACCTCATGCAAAGATGAAAAACTGAATAGTTGTTCTTATATTAATATAAACAAAACTATAAAAATATCGTTTTTTCTAACAACTCGTGCTTTGTGACTGTAAAATTGTATAAAGACACGTCACACTTGAATGAAAGTAAAATCATGTACGATATTCGAATGACGGGTTTGCTAGCGGCCGGACGTTTGGATGGAGGGAGCGTCCGGACGCCCGCAATGCAGTACTTTCCGGCACCATTTCGCGCGCCCACGCCAACCCGAACTTCACCAGCATTGAGAAGAGAGGAAGGGGGCGGTGATGCCCAACTGACGCCGGGAGGAGACACACTGAGACAAGGCCGCAGAAGGCGAGGAGAGAGGCAACACTTGATCTACTTTTGAAATATTCAGATGCAACACTTGCAACGTACGTCTGAAGGTAGATGAAACACTTAAAACATGCAAGGAAAACACTTGCAAAAACACCTGAAAAAGACACTTGAAACCATTGTAAAAACATACGTAACATCCAGATAGAACACTTGCAACATATGTGTGAAACATATGCAACATCCAAATAAATACATTTGCTGCATATGTCTGAAAAACAGATGAAACATTGAGAACAAAAGCTTGCAACATATGTGTACAACCGTTGCAACATATGCAACTTTCCGATCTACTTTTGCAGCATCTATATGAAACACTTGCGACATACATATGAATCATTTGAAATTCTTGAAACATAGACTACAACATGCACTTCAACATAGTATCTACTTGTTGCTTGGATGAGTGGAGGCTCATCAACGTGGAGCTTGATGCCGTAGAGTGCCACGGGGAGGGGGGAGGAGGGAGGAGAGGATGCCAGCGGGTGGGTGGCTGTGCGGTCCCGACGTGCGGCTGTGTGCATAGATTTAGTCTAGACTGGGACAAAAGGAGATGTTGCACAGGCCCCACCATCATCAAACCATCCACCGTCCGCTAGATCCTTTTGCAGCGCTGTTCAACGGCTGCGCATCTTCAGCACAGTGCAAGTCACGAGTAGAGTCCCTTCGCCTCCACGCTGCAGGCAACATCCACCGCTAATCTCGTCGGCTCAGGCGCATTGATGGGAGGAGAAGCGGTAAGGGAGAGAATAATGTTGTGTTTGCAAAACTGGATCATATGAAGGAAGCGTGTGTGCAGATAAGCATGGTGCGGATTTTTTTTAATTCGTATAGAAATACGTTTTGATGGTGGGTAATTAGATGACCTAAGCATAACATTACCGTTCGAATAAAAGAAACATACAAAGAATATAAAAAAAGGGTTAAAAAAAGAATATAAAAAATAAAAAATTTAAAAAACAAATTACAAAAACATGCTCTAACTGTAAAATTGTATAAAGACACGTCACACTTGAATAAAAGTAAACTCATGTATGGAATTCGAATAAAGAAACACACAAATAATTTAAAAAATAGAGATTCGAATAAAGAAACACACAAAGAATAAAATAATGAAAAAACAAATTGCAAAAACCTGCTGCGGACGGGAATCGAAGCCTGCGACGTATTGTTTGCAATGTGCTGGCGAAACTAACCACTCAAACCTTAGATCCTTTTGTAGAACCCTGGACAGTATCTTTAATATATGTTATTAGTTTTACCGTACCTATTTAAGTCCTCAAGTAAGGTAAAAGTGATCTAGGTCTCCCGCGCCGACGCCGACGCCTCCGCTGCTGCCACCTCCGCTTTCTGTGCGGAGGACTCCTCGCCGGAGAATTGCCGGCGGCGGCTCGAGACGACACTTCGGTAATCGTCTCCCGCCGCCCACTGCCCAGCAACCCTACTCTAATCCGCACAGCAGCTGCGCATCAAGTGATGGCGAAGCCGGAGGAGAAGCTGCGCTGCACGAAGGAGCCCTTCATCGAGGACGTCGGCACCCGGAGGATGTAAGCATGCGGCTCCCGTCCCGTTTAATGAATCAATAGCCCGGCGATTACACTTACTCTGCCGCTTCCCTGTTACGGTTTGTTGCTTTTGATTTCAGAAAGAGCATCCGGTTCAGCGTGCTCTCGGGCAGCGAGATTCGCAAGTCCGCGGAGGTGCAGGTCTGGAACAACCGGATCTATGGGCACGACATGAAGCCGGTGCCCAATGGGTTGCTCGACCCGCGAATGGTAATGCCCCGCTCGGAATTGCTGTTTTCTCGTGTTTCATTGATGGTTTGAAGTTGGTAGTTCTAACATAGGCGTGCCTTTGTGGCATCGTTAAGTTGCTGCAACTTATTTCCCCGTGTCAAATTTCAGGGAATCCCGAATAAGAGAGAGAAATGCAGTACCTGCCATGGTGAATTTAGTGACTGTCCTGGTCATTTCGGTTACTTGAAGCTTGCGCTTCCAGTTTTTAATGTAGGCTTCTTTAACTGTATTCTGGACGTGCTGAAGTGCATCTGCAAGGTACTGCCATTAAGAAGTTTACATTATGGGCTGAACACTTGAACTCTGTCTTTATAATTATTCTTGTTCTCTCGTGCCTTTCCAGAGCTGTAGCAGAGTTCTTCTTAAGGAGAAAGACCGCAGGGAGTTTCTGAAGAAGATGAGAAATCCCAGGGCAGATGCACTACAGAAAAGTGCTACAATGAAAAAAGTGAGGGACAAATGCAAACTATCCTGCTGCCCCCGCTGTGATTACAGAAATGGTTAGCTATCATATATTGTCCATAATAATTTTACCTTAGGAATGTCACTACTGAAACCTGGCTATTGTTTGTAAGTTAACATTTGCAAGAAATCTCTCAACTCTTTCCTGTTTTTGTTGTAAATACAGGTGTAGTTAAAAAAGGCAGAGCAGGCTTGATAGTGGTTCATGACTGTAGCAAGGTTTTGGATGGACATACAGAAGAACTGAAGAATGCATTGCAACACAAGAAAGAAAAGGTCTCCACTAATTCAGTTCGTGTGTTAGACCCTGCAACTGTTCTCTCTCTATTCAGAAGAATGACTGATGAGGTTTGTGCCAATTTTCATCCTTCAAGAGTCTTACGTGAAGAGGGTACCGTAATGTATGGGATATAGGGTTATTTGATGTGTTCTGCTACCCTCTCTTTTAGTGCTCAATAACACTAGGACAGTCAAGTGAGCTGGAGAAAACATTAAACCTATCTAAAAAGTTGCCCCAAGCCACATTGGTTGCCTCACATTGGATGCTATTTTCCAATTTGAACTCTTTGCAGTTTTGTTGACAAAATTTTACTCTTCCTTTTCATTTTTCTGCAGGATTGTGAATTACTAAACCTTGGTGATAGGCCAGAAAAACTTATTGTGACGGAGATTGCAGTGCCACCTGTTCCTATACGGCCGTCTGTCGTTGTTGGTAATAGTAGAACAAGGTTTGCTTTTCAGTTTCTTAAGAGCTTCTGTACTTATCCTCATTTTCGTTTGTTGATTCAGAATAACCTCGTGATCATGAGTTGCCTTGCTTATTGCAGCAATGAAGACAGCATCACGGTTATTTTGAAGAGCATTATTAATACAAACTCCATCCTTAAGGAGACCCTCCATACTGGGGGTCCATTCACCAAGTGCTTTGTAAGATAACCCAGAGCTCCTCACTTGTCTGTTTTTACATGTTTCTGAAATTTTTCCATTAATCTGTTCTTTTCTTCATAAATGTGCTCTTTCATATTTTATTTTTTGGATTGTTTTTAGTTTTAGGAACTATTGTCTCTTGTGTTCCTTGTTATCCACAAGACCACCAACTATTTGAATTTTGGTTGCTTGTAAAGTGCTATTCCTCGAATGAGTTGTACAGTACAGTATTGAAGTTATGACATTCACGATGTGCACATATAGGCTACTCAACATCGCAATCCAAAGTGTTATTAACTAGAAATCTAACATTCAAGTCTTCTAAATATATTAACGAGCTGAAATAATAGATTGGAAATTTGCACAAATATTGGACAGTAATCTTTAGATACTTCAAACTTCTGACTTATTTCTGGCTACATTAAACTTCTGACCATATTTTCAGATGCTTCACTTTCAATCTGGATAGTTAATTCATCAGACTGTAACTTTTGTTGATGTCCTTAGCTAACTTTTCACTCTTCTAGGATTGCTGGCAATACCTTCAACTTCAAGTTGTTGAATATGTGAATAGTGATGCCCCCTGTCTTCCAGACTCACAACATCGTGGCCTTGTTCAACGACTCAAAGGGAAGACTGGCCGATTTCGTGGTAATTTGTCTGGAAAACGTACTGAGTACACAGGAAGAACTGTCATATCTCCTGATCCAAATTTGAAAATAACAGAGGTACTCGTTCATGTTCAATTGTTTCCTTATTTCCCACTTTCCGATTGTTTTTCATGTCACCATTTATTAATCCTTCAGGTGGCTGTTCCTGTGTTGATGGCTCGAGTCTTAACTTATCCTGAAAGGGTTTCAAACTATAACATTGAGAAGCTGCGACAATGTATACGAAATGGACCATTCAAATATCCAGGGGCTAATTTTGTTACACAACCTGATGGCATGAAGCAGTAAGTTCTAACTTGATGAAATTCTCAATTGTTATCCAGCCCAGCCTCTTCTACCATTCTTCTGCTTTTTCAGGAGCTTAAAGTATGGTGATAGAAGGATTACTGCTCGGGATTTAAAGTGTGGATGTATAGTTGAAAGGCATTTAGAAGATGGAGACGTTGTCCTCTTTAATAGACAGCCGAGTCTGCATAGAATGTCAATTATGTCTCACAGGGAATCAGTGTCTCCTTATTTCATTATACTATACTTCAAACATTTCCTCACCTTTGGATATTTGCTCTTGTACTTGAGCACAGGCAAGGATAATGCCATGGAGAACACTCAGATTTAATGAGTCTGTTTGCAACCCTTATAATGCTGATTTTGATGGAGATGAAATGAATTTGCATGTCCCTCAGACAGAGGAAGCTCGCACTGAAGCGCTTATGCTCATGGGGGTAGCATTTGCTTTCCTTCTTTCTTAAGTTGAGCAATTTTATTTTATCTGCTAGCACCTAGGACAACTTTGATAGCTGCTATTTGTTATTGTTATTGTTATTGCTTTTACAGGTTCAGAATAATTTATGTACTCCTAAGAATGGTGAGATACTAGTTGCTTCCACGCAAGACTTCTTGACCTCATCTTTCCTAGTTACAAGAAAAGATACTTTCTACGATCGATCTTCCTTTACTCTTTTGTGCTCATACCTTGGTGATGCAATGGAGAACATTGATTTACCAACACCAGCCTTGATTAAAGTAAGATTTTCATACTGAGTTTTGTGTATAGTGATATCTAGAAAGTTATGCTAGGTCTGCTTCTAGTGATGCCTATAGTTAGAATAGTCGATAACTCGATATCATTTGAACATGATAAATCAGGTGCTTGCTGATAAATCAAATTTCAATGTTTGCATATAATAAGAAAACATAGCAAAAAGCATGGTTTGTTTATTTCCTAAATGAAATCTATGCACTTGCCTTTACTCTTTTCATTGGCATGCATCTTTGTACACACTATCCTTCTTACTGAGATGCCCATATCTTGTGTTTATTCTACTTTTGCAGCCTGTTGAACTTTGGACTGGTAAACAACTATTTAGTGTGTTAGTCCGACCTAATGCACACACAAGGGTGTTTCTGAATCTTGCTGTTCAAGAAAAAATTTATTCAAAAAAAAAGGGAAAAAAAGAGGGGGGAGAGGAAACTATGTGTGGAAGGGAAACAATGTGTCCCAATGATGGTTATGTCTACTTCCGAAACAGTGAACTGTTATCTGGACAAGTGGGGAAGGCCACTTTAGGTAATTATTTGAAAGAATGTGCAATTTTATCAGTTGTTACTAAAAAGTCTGTTCCCTGTTCCTACAGTTTATGGGCATTTGTTATTTACGTTTTACATGAAGATTTGGAAGCAATAAAAAATGATGTGGCCTTTATCTCCAGGTAATGGGAATAAGGATGGCCTTTACTCTGTTCTTTTAAGAGATTATAATTCTCATGCTGCAGCAAGCTGTATGAATCGCTTGGCAAAATTTAGGTGAGACACATTCCATGCTCTGTGTAATCACATCATTCATGTTACTTTATGTGAAAGGTGGTTCTTTTATGGATGAACTCCTACTCCACAAGTCCACATTGTATTCTTGGGATTCCTTATATGCCACTGATGTCTCTTGGCATGTAGCACATGAGGAATGTACTATGTAAAGTTTCTTTATAGATGCATTAGGAGATAGAGAATACACAATACATCAGATAGCGTCTTTGTAGGAGCCGTCACCTACCATGGAAATAGCTTTGTAAGTCTTAGACCTAGCAGCCTAATTAAGTGCCTCTTGACTCCAACAACTTAGACGAAACACAGTTCAGTTACTTTTTACGTTGGTCCAAGCGCCTGCATCCAAAGGATCCTTGGGTGCTTAGTCCAATTGCTGAGCACTTACTCTGGTGGTGACGCACCCAGCAAGTGCCTGCAATTGCATGCATTGGCTTCCTCTGTGGTGACTGTTAGACTGCCATATTATGGGCGGTATCTTGGGTCATTAGCATTGCTGTATGGGCTGTAACGCCCTGGGCTTGGGCTGAGTGCGCCTGTAGGCGCCCTTTGGGGTTTTATGGTAGATGATCTTGGTTTAGGCAAGGATCACCGTTGATTGGGTGTTTCTATAAACCCTTGACAATCCTTGCCTATATATATTGTATTCATTTGGTACCTCCATAATCAATCTACTGAGTTTTCCTGAGCCACCTCTTCTCTCATGGTATCATGAGTCTGGGTATTCACCCCGATTCCACCTCTGCTGCCCTAGAGCGCCTTCCCCCTCGGCTGTGCTCCTCCCACCCATCTGCGCCGGCTTCCCCTACTGTGCTGCGATGCCTGGGACTCCTCCCCCCTCTCCCAAATCGGCAGCCGCCGCCGCCGCCGCCTCCAAGGCTGCCGCCCCCACGGTCGCCGCAATATCCAGCCTGGACTCCGATGCCCAGGCCAAGGCTGCTGCTGCCGCCAAAGCCGCCGATGCGGATGCCACTCTGGCCTGCCTGCAGCAAATAATCGGAAGGCTGAGCGCGATGCAAGAAGGAAGCCCAGGCCGCCCGCTCTGGCCTTGCCTGACGCCCGCCGCCACCAGCAGTATCTTGGGTCATTAGCATTGCTGTATGGGCTGTAACGCCCTGGGCTTGGGCTGAGTGCGCCTGTAGGCGCCCCTTGGGGTTTTATGGTAGATGATCTTGGTTTAGGCAAGGATCACCGTTGATTGGGTGTTTCTATAAACCCTTGACAATCCTTGCCTATATATATTGTATTCATTTGGTACCTCCATAATCAATCTACTGAGTTTTCCCGAGCCACCTCTTCTCAAAGTGACTGGTGAGGGAAGCTATTAATTGACGGTAAGCGCCCACGCTTGTTAGTGCCCTAAGGAGCCAAGAAATTTCAGTGGGATGAAGGAACTCACACTCAATTCACATCGATACATTTTATCCCATTTTTCTATTCAAGAGAGCTAATAGGCTGCTTAGGCCAAGTTAGCTAACCCTACACTGTATAGGCCTCACTGCAAGTTACCTATAAACATCACATATATACCACAGTTTTTCAAAACTAGTGTATGGAAACTTTATTCTGATCTGAAGGTGCTTTCCCCTCTGCAGTGCAAGATTTATAGGGAACCATGGTTTTTCCATTGGTGTGGATGATGTCCAACCAGGAGAACATCTAAATCGGCAAAAGAAAAAGGAAATAGACAGAGGGTACAAAAAATGCCATGATCTTATTTCTTTGTTTGCGAAAGGTGCGCTCGCATTGCATCCTGGTTGCAATGCAGCTCAAACGTTGGAGCATAACATCACTGGCATGTTAAATGAAATCAGATCAATTGCTGGAAACGTAAGTTTGCACATAGTTTCATTATCTTGTTTATTTTTTGTTTTTTATAGTCAATTAGCATGTGAACATTCCTGATCTGATTGATTCTCTTTGCTCTGTTAGTTTTTTACAGTTAGGGAGAACATAATTGTCCTTCATAATCATAAGTGGTCTCATGCCCAAAATTTATCCTCATGTTGGATATTATTTTTAAAATGCACCTCTTTAGTGTTACATGGGTAAGTTTTCTTGTTGGGACGTTGTTATTGCGTTAGTTTGTAGCATTATAATTCAGTGAACAGGGTTGATGTAGTGATTTTGTCAAGGGACTAGTGACTACCTATGTGTCCACTCTGAATTTACTGTGTTTTTTGTGGACCGTTGAATTTCTTGTGATGAAACTTTTTTCAGGTGTGCATGGATACGCTTCACTGGAGGAACAGCCCATTGATCATGTCTCAGTGTGGTTCTAAAGGTTCTCCAATCAATATCAGTCAGATGGTTGCGTGTGTTGGACAGCAATCAGTTGGAGGGCGTCGCGCCCCAGATGGTTTTATAAATAGAACTCTTCCTCACTTTCCTATAAATTCAAAGACCCCTGCAGTAAGTGACAAAAAGGAACATGACTTGCTAATTTGTGCATAGGATATTTCTAGTTCTGTTTGAATAAACAAATTCTGAAAAATTGTTACCATCATTGGGCTGAAGGACTGCAAATCGCACATCTTCTACAGTGCTTATCCAAAAGTGCAGATATAATAGTAGCTTTAGTTTTCGTTTCTCAATTCCCATGTACCACAATCATCAAACTTTTCTGAGTGATTGCATGATTGTTGGTTTGTTGAATCTGGTGATTTTACTGCAGTAGTTGATAGAGAAATTGGAGCTTTTGGAACATTATGCTTTTTAAAATAATACCACCCTTCTATATTTGTGACATCCATGAATCTGCCATTTTACTTTAATTTCAAAATGAAGCAGACATTTAAATTTAATAACACAAACATTCTGATAAGGTTTTGTCTTCCATTTGCAGGCTAAAGGTTTTGTTGCTAATTCATTCTATACTGGTTTGACTGCTACTGAGTTTTTCTTCCACACAATGGGTGGACGAGAAGGTCTTGTTGACACGGCGGTATGCCTAAATTTAAACATGTTTCTTTCCTGCATTTATTAAGTTTTTGTGCTCTCTAGGGATTACATCATAAATGATGGCACAGCTGTTCATATAGGCTTAAATATGACTTGCATGTGTTACTCAGTTGAATTAGTTCAAACAGACAATGGTGATATTATTCCAAAAATGTGTAGTCAGTTTGTTTTCGTGGCCAAATTGTTTGTCACTATGGCTGGTACTCCCTCTGTTCCAAAGTGTAATTGTTTTTTAGTTTTGTCCTAAGCCAAACTTCTCTAACTCTGACCAAGTTTATATAAAAGTGCATCAACATCTACACATCATATTAAATAGTGTATTTATTTGGTACTGTAGATGTTAATATATTTTTCTACAAAATTGGTCAAAGTTAGGGAAGTTTGACTTATGACAAAGCTAAAAACGACCGACATTTTTTGGAATGGAGGGAGTATAACTTTTGTTTTCTCACGTGAGCCCATACCTTTCTTTTTTATCGATTGCTAATTTCAGCCTTCCTCCCCAATCTGATTATAGTCCTGGTGTATATACAAACTCTCTTATGATCTAATTCCGAGCATTATTAAATACCACAATTTGGTATAATTTAGCAGTTCTAATTATTCAATCCTAACGGCTCAATCTAATAATTTTGATCCTAATAACTGTTAAAAACTCACATTGAAGGGAAAGAGTAACCCCAGTTTTCTCTGAAGCCGAGATACAGTTAGATACATCATTAGTCCCCTGACACCTGGCATACAACAGAACTTGTGTTCTAAGAATCGCTGCAAGATAATGGAACATTCAACCTAAGAGATTGACAACCATGTATTAATTACTACGGAACAGCAATAGATCAAGTTAACAACTACCCAGTGACTATTACAGAGCAATATTATATCTTCAAGTAGAAGCTAAAGATAATCCCATTGATCACACCAGTGTAATACTGTTATGACATAATCATCTGCACTTGACCTTGTATCCTCAGAACAGCGTCGGCAGCTATTTCCTGTGCATTTTCATTCATAGTGGGGCTCCGATACCTATTGTTTCCTTTGTTTTGATCTTTTTTTTTTAATAATAGGTCAAAACAGCAGAAACTGGATATATGTCCCGCAGATTGATGAAGGGCTTGGAAGATCTCTCGGTTTTCTATGATCAGACAGTTCGAAATGCTAGCGGTGGTATAGTTCAATTTTTGTATGGAGATGATGGCATGGATCCTGCAAAGATGGAAGGAAAAGATGGCATGCCCTTAAATTTGGATCAATTGTTTATGAAAGTCATGGTTAGTTTAATGTACAGAATATTTTGTTAGATGGTCATGGAAATGTGCTCTGATCATTTAACTTTCATTATAGGCCACATGTCCTCAAAGGGGATCAGATACATTATCTCCAGAGGCTATCAAACAGATGTTAGAGGATAAGCTCTTGCAGCATGACACCTCATCTGATGGTGGCTGTAGCGAAGAGTTCAAGAAAAACTTAACTGAATTTCTTGATAAACGTATAGAATTAATGAAATACACAAGAAGGGCACTCCATCTACATGAGGATCATGTAGAAAAGAAAGATTCTTGCGTAGAAGAATCTGTTGCTGCTATTATATTTGGTATATCTGCAAAACAACTTCAGGTGCGTGTTTATAATCTTTTTTAATCCTTCTTATTACCAAAGTCATTGCCACTTTGTCAAAGAGCTAAACTTTTGTCTAGATTAAATCAGACTTTTGCCATTTTCCAATTGGCTTGCATGTAGTGTTTATTTATTTATTTTTGCAGCAAATATGCCATAGGGTATACCAATATCGTAATCTACAGAAACTATGGATTTGTGAACTTCTCTGGCATCAAGGGATAGCATAAATGTATAAGATGCATTCTTTGTTAGTTATTGGGCTGTTTGGTTCAATTTATAACACAAAAAAGTTCATGACGTGGACTTGCTGTGAACCTTGGTGAAGATAACCGTGCTGAATATGGCTAGATAGCATGACATGGGGGGGAATTAGAGCATCAGGGGGTGGGCAGGATACAGGCTGTGAACCTTTATAGAGTGACTTCCTAAGGAACAATCATGTTTATTATGGAAGCTTGCCCTTAACACATGGTATTTTTGTGTAAATCCCATGTACTACGATTCTTCTGTGGCCTGTTCTTCCTAACCCTATGGGTTTTTGTGTAAATCCAACATTTACAATTTATATTATTGCAAGTGTATTGTGACTTAGAAGGGCGGGCCTGGTGCAAGCGGTAGAGTCTTACCGCCTATGACCGGAAGGTCCCGGGTTCGAGTCGCGGTCTCCTCGCATTGCACAGGCGAGGGTAAGGCTTGCCACTGACACCCTTCCCCAGACCCCGCATAGCGGGGAGCTCTCTGCACTGGGTACGCCCTTTTTTAAATGTATTGTGACTTAATGAGTAACTCTTCCCTGCTGTTCCTGATATTTTTTTCTTGCTACACTGTTATGTTTTTATTATTATGTTAAAGCAATATCAGTCTAGCATACGTTGGTCATAAATAAATAACAACCTCTTTCTATGTAAGCATTTTGTACCCTGATATAATCAACCAACCACTAATCTGATATCATTGACTAACCACTTTCCTATGCTTTGTCTTCATCTCTAGTTTTCTGAGGACTTGAGGCAAAAAAAAGTTTGTTTGGTGATCCAGTTACATAGGCTAAGCTGTAGTTTTAACTTCTATAAGTCTTCTCAAACGATTGTTTTGTCAGTTTGTGCATTTTGTTCTTGTATCCTTGTATCAGATGATTAATTTCCTTTGTCTGGCTCAGGTTTTCTTGGACACTTGCTTATCTCGTTATCAGTCAAAGAAGATTGAAGCAGGAGCATCTATTGGAGCAATTGGAGCTCAAAGTATTGGAGAGCCAGGGACTCAGATGACACTGAAAACATTTCATTTTGCAGGAGTAGCTAGCATGAGTATCCTTTTTACCGCTGCTTCAGGAAAATATTACTGATTTCTGTGGCATTTAAACTTGCTGAATTAAGATGCTTCATTTTATTTTTCAGTTTTTATTTCTACTTCAGATAAGCGCTTCTGTGAGTTAATATCTCTGGAAGATACTCCCTTCATTCCAAATTATAAGACGTTTTGGTTTTTCTAGATACATTGTTTTTACTATACATCTAGACATACTATATATCTAAGTGCGTAGCAAAGGCTTTGTATCTAGAAAAGCTAAAACGTCTTATTAATTTGGAATGAAGGGAGTACTATCGAACTTTCAGGATTTTTTTTCAAAGAACCTTTATTCCTCAATAAATCTAACTTACTTTATTAAATGCATTATTTGACATAGAAAGTCCAGAAACAGAGCCGAGCTCACTACATTAATGTCTTTCACTGTAAGACATAATCTGCTGCTCCCCAAATCTCTCTTTTGTTTGATTGCCGCAGATTAGGATTAGCAATTGGTCAGCTCTGCTGTCCACTCGCTGGTGCTGTGGCAAGAATGGCAATAGGCCATCTAGTACAAGATTGTACAAGGGCTGTAGCAAGAATGGCAATAGGCCATCTAGTACAAGATTGTACAAGTAGTGGGCTGATATCAGCCATGTCCTAGAGGACATAGGAGTAGTTTGTACCTTGTACCTTATATGGTACTTGTAGTTTGTACATATACTACACCCAAAGGCAATGAAAGTTAGTTCAGCCATTCACATTTTCAGAAGCAGCCGAGCTGCTGTTGGTGTTGTGTGTGTGTGCTGTTCTCACCTCTTCTTCAACCTTCAGCCGAGTGAGTGTGTGTGTGTGGTTGTGTGGGTAAGCTAGCTGCTTACCTGTGCAGGGAAATCGAGGGCCAACATTCACAACTTGTTTCCTTAACCATAAAAAAGATGTTACTCTTGGTGTTCCTCGAATCAAGGAAATTATCAATGCTGCTAAAAAGATAAGCACGCCTATTATCACCGCTCAGCTTTTGTCAAGGAAACATGTTCTTTCTGCACGTATTGTGAAAGGATCTATGGAGAAAGCAGTGCTCGGCGAGGTGAACTATCACTTGATATGTTTTATTACAGATCATTTTTATATACACTTCAAAGAAACCAATTGATTTTCCATCTTTCCTCCTATTTATCATTATTTTAGTGTTCACACTTGCACAGAGTGGTTGCTTATTCTACCAGGCATGGAAGTCACATGCACAACTAGAGCTGAGAAAGTTTCTCTCATTCTCTGTTACCTTACTGTATTCTATGGAGGCTGAATGTTGGTAGCTCATTTTATGCAATACAAAAATAGCATGTATGCGAACCGTACTTCACATCTGCAAGTTCCATGATAAGGGTACCAATGTACTAGTTCTATCGCTACTTTTCTAATTCTTTTTTTGTGAGATTGAGTCCACTCTTTTAGATTTATAGTACAATATGTTGGCTTAGGTGGAAAATTTTCAGTGGTTTGTATTGGATTTTGGTTGTGGATCTCTCCGTTATAGAAAAGCATGGAACCCCCATGAATGAACAAAAATGCCTGTGCATACTTCATACCTAGTGTGATATTTTGCCCTGCCACATCTTGATTGTTTTGGTGCTGACTTTTGGATTGATGTGTGTTGATTAGGTTGCAGCAGCCATACAGATTGTCCTGAAATCAAGTCAGCCAAACTTGGTGGTCAAACTTGATATGCAACTTATAGAAACTCTCCACATGGGAATATCTGCTGATTCTGTGCAGCTGTCAATTTTGAATCATCCAAAGATTAAGTTAAAATCTGAGGTATAAACAAAGTTCCAAGTTTGATACATCAGGTGAAAATTTTATCTTTTTTGGTTAACTGTGGATGCAATTACAGTAAAATGATTTTTTGCAGCATGTCCGTGTCATTGATAGAGCCAAGTTGAGAATATATCCATGTGGAACTGATAAGCGCAAACTTCAGCTTGAACTGCATAACCTCAAATCCATCCTTCCAAAAGTGATTGTGAAGGTGAACTAGATATCCATTGTTAAATTTCCTGCCATTTTTGTTTGTAAAAAATACTTATAATACCATGATGCCAGTGCTGACCTTTCTAGAAATATAAATTCAGGGCATTCCAACTGTTGAAAGGGTTGTTATTGACGAAGTTAAAGTCAACAACGAGACAGAAAGATACCAATTGTTGGTTGAAGGGTAAGCTTTCCTACTCCCTCCGATAAAAACTAATTGTCACATTTGACCAGTAAATTTTTTTATAGAATATATTCTTAAAATCTTTGAAGTTTATGTTATTTTGCAGGTATTTTCCAGTACAATTATACACATTTAACTTGCATGCTTTCAAACTAAATAATTTAACCTGCATGTTTTCAAACTAAATAATGTAAAAGTTATTGATGTTTATAGTTTTTAAGGCTTGACTAAATCTTGTCCTGAACAACATGTTTTTTTGACCGGAGTTAGCATTTCTTTATTGATTTAGCAGCATTAACCTTTTACTTTCTCACTTTGGTAACCTTCAGTTGCACGTTTAAAACTAGTTTGAGGGTTGTAAGAATGGCAAGATCAAAGCTGTTTCGCGCCTTAGCATGTGGCTTATGCAGTATTGTCTGACATGATGTACACTAATAAAAAAATGTGTAATTACAGAACAAACCTCCTGGCAGTCATGGGTACCCCAGGAGTTGATGCTAGGAAGACGAAAAGTAATCACATCATGGAAACGAACAAAACGCTGGGAATTGAAGCTGCTAGGAGATCTATTATTGATGAAATTCAGTACACAATGAAAAGTCATGGCATGAACATTGATCGGAGACATATGATGCTCTTAGCAGATTTAATGACATACAAGGTATCACGAATAATGTTTTTCCTACCCTCCATGCACTTTATTACATGCTTCAATACCTATGCCCATTTTACTTTTGTGAATTCTCTGAGCAGGGTGAAATTCTCGGCATTACTAGATACGGCATTACAAAGATGAAAAGCAGTGTGCTGATGCTTGCTTCATTTGAGAAAACCTCAGAACATCTATTCAATGCCTCATACAGTGGTCGTGAGGATCAGATAGAGGGAGTTAGTGAATGCATTATCATGGGCATTCCCATGCAGCTCGGTACCGGTATTCTCAAAGTCAGGCAAAGGTACTTACACTTTTTTTATGCTCTTAAACTGTGGTACGATGCAACACACTTTGCACTGAACTTGCCATCCAGCTTGTTGAAAAGTTTGCAATTATGTGTTCTAGATTTTTTTTCCCGAGGGTACCTGTGTTTCTTAACAAACCGCATGATATTGTCGATGAGGTGCCAGTTCCATTTCCCTTTGCAGGCTTGACCATGTGCCTGAATTCAAGTACCAGCCAGACCCGATACTGTCGTGATACATACATGTGGACTGAAGCTGGAACTCTGTACATATATAGCTGGATCATATCATTATACATGCATAGGGCATAGCGTAGCGTAGGGCAACCGTGGCGGCTGTCATTTTCAGGCGAACATCTAGCTGGCCTCGTTCACTTTGCAAAAAAATTGAACCCAATGAATAATACCACTTTTGTCTTATTTGGTAAATATTGTCTAATCGTAGACCAACTATGCTCAAAAGATTCATCTCGTGATTTTCAACTAAACTGTGTAATTAGTTATTTTTTTTACCTACATTTAATACTTTATGCAAGCGGCTAAAAATTGATATGATGGAGAGAGAGTGAAAAAACTGAATTTGGATGGCATCGTCATTCCATCTCAATGAGGCAGACTCCGGGCCAACAGCGCCCTCTTCGGCTGCATCGGCAGATGCGCAGAGTTAATTGTGGCAAGCATGACACTGTAATTCTACGATTCGACGCTAGGGCTGGCAACGCCTACATCTACTAGGCAGTAGTACATGATTGTGCTAAATATCTCTGCAGGCTAATAAAGCCTGGGAAGAATCGTTGTTTTTCCTTGTGTTGAACTGTGGACGTTAGCACACTTCAAAAAGTAGACGTTAGCGAGGCGTGGTCCTAAAAAGAATGCACGTCTTGTATTTTAAGAAGTTTTGGATTTTCTAAATATATAGTTTTTGCTATATATTTAGATATAAACTCTTGCTAGATGCATAGATAAAGCAATGTGTCTAGAAAAATCAAAATGTCTTCTAATAAAAAAATGTCTTATAATTTGGAATAGATGGAGTAATACTTATGATATGATTTTCATACTGTTTCGTAAAAAAGATATGATTTTCATACTAAATAGGTACAAATTTTATCTTTTATAACTCTAGTCATTTAAAAGAGTTTGACTTTAAAAACAAAATGTGCATTTTTTTAAGGGAGGGTACTGGTGTCGGTGTTTCGAATCACCGACTAGTAAATTTGTGATTTGCGCGTTTAGCCCGGATGGTGTGCTCGGAGGATATAACAATTTATACTGGTTCGGGTGAGATATCCTTACGTCCAGTCTGCTGCTGCTCGTGTTACCGGCACTAGTTTGTAGTAGGGGTTATAAACGGGCGAGAGGGAAGCAGGTCCTAAGTCTCTGGTAAAAGGGTCAAACGGAGTTGAGTCTCGTTGAGCTCGTTCAGCCGTGCCCTTTGTGGGGCATCATGTTTTCTCTTTTATAGATGAAGGGGAAGGCACGGGTTACCCGAGAGAAAGAGAGAGAAACGAGGAGGAAGAAGGCCTTCGGGATCGCGGCACCCTTCATCTCCTTTACACGGGTCTCGCCGGTCCTATAGATGATGACGGGGACGGCTCCACGTCACGATCCTATTGATCGCTGGCGCTATACGTGGGCGTCGTCAGCCAATCGTGGCGCTCCATTTTGTTTCGGCGGGCGTCATGGTTAGCAGATACCCCTGTCGGAAGTCGTACGGGGGTTAGGTAGCATAGCGCCGGCACGCTCGACACTGTTGGCGACGTGAGTCCTCAGGTATAGCCCATCATGGCCGCGGGTCACGTCAAGACGCGCCTACTCCCTTTTTGGTGTCAGAAGTTTGACCCTAGGTTCGTACTCTTAGACCCGTAGTGGTTGGAGACGGTACGGACCCCCGTCGGGTGAGGCGGAATCCTCCTTCGAGGGGTCTGGCGAGGCGAAGTCCGCGCCCGAGGGGTCTAGCGAGACGGAGCCCGCGCCCTCGAGATCGGGCGAGACGGAGCCCGCGCCCTCGGGGTCAGACGTGACGGAGCCCGCGCCCTCGAGGTCAAGCGTGACGGAGCCCACGCCCTCGAGTCGGACGACACGGAGTCCACACCCTCGGTGTCGGGCGAGACAGAGCCCATACCTTCGGGTCGGGCAAGACCAAAATACACTCTTTACCATCCGGGCAAGTTAGCGTTCGCAGCCATCGCCTTCCTTCTTCCAGGTATCCCTAATATTGATACCCGACAATAGCCCCCGAGCTTGTGGAGGAGTAGGATACTCCTTCAAGGCTTTTTTCGACGGAAGGGTTCTGAGGGTCTTAATCTCCCTTTGTGGGCCGCAGGATGTCTTGGTAGGGTCGTGATTCCTTTTTGTCATGTTCGGACTCTTCGAAAGCATGCAGCTGCGGGATTCGAGGGGTCGAAAAAGATCTCTCTTGATTCCGATCCCTCCCAAGGATCCGATCGATCCGCCATTGTCATGCGAATGCGTATTCGGTCTCTTTGCGAGTCCAACTTCCCCCGAGCCCCACGCGTAGCAAGGGTCCGGTCGAGGGGTCAGCTCGTCTTGTGGTCATCCTCCCTCAAACGTTTTTTCGATAAAACGGAGGGGCTGAGCCGTGCCATGTTTTTCTCGATGGACGAATCATGGTGCTCGGTGAGCTGTTAACGGGCTAGTTCAAGTGGGGCCTCGGCTTGTCATTCGTGGGGGTCCGACATGGGTCAGCTGGTGACCGACTCCAATTTCTAGCAACCAATCCATATAGTTCTTGGGTCCGTTCGATCGGTCCCAAGGGCTCGTTACCTTTCTTCGAAGAAAAACCATGGACCGTGCTCCGACCAAGACCCAAACGTGGGCTAGATCCCGTGGCGCTCGTGCGCCCGGGTACCAGTCACTAGTGGGCCCATCCCTTACCACCCCTCACTCTAAAGGTGCCCTGGAGCAATTGTGAACCCATCCGTGGGCCAACCTTTGAACTCCTGGGCCTTAATGGGCTGTGGGAGCGTTTTTAGCTCCGTATCCCTTCTTACCTACGGTGGTTTTTGGCCCATCGAGGGGGCGAACCGCTGTTTGGCGCGCCTTTCGAGGAGACGGTTGGGGGTGGTGTGTGCATGATTCCCGGAGAGGTGATGTGATGAGGCACGATAGGCGCGTCAATCTAGACGGACGGTTCGCCCCTTGCTCCACCTTCCCTTATAAATAGCGGCCTTTCCCTTTGCCTTTTGGTATGCCTAACCACAGCCTCGCCTTCTCCGCTTCTCTACCACCAACGCTTTAGATCTCTTGCCATCGCTCTTGCGCCGCCAGTGAAAATCCTTGTTCTTCCGCCCTTGCTCTTCCGCCGTCAGTGAAGCTTTCATTCCTCCACCCTTGCTTCCCATGGAGTTGTGGTATCGCTCCGATGTCACCCACGCGCGTATGGAGGGTCTTGTCAAGCGTGGCCTTCTCCATGGGAGGACCAACACGGTGGAGTGGCTCGTGCCCGGTCGTGAGGAGGTGCCGGTGCTGCCTGACGGCTATGTCGTGTCCTTTGCGCCCTTCCACGAGCGCAGATTCATGATTCCTCCCCACCCATTCTTCCAGAGGCTGCTGCACCATCACCAGATCGAGTTGTAGCACCTGAATCCCAACATGATCCAGCGACATCATGACCTTCATCACGCTGTGTGAGGGATATCTAGGAATCGAGCCCCACTTTGAGTTGTGGAGGTACTTCTTCTCCGTCTCCCTACTTAAGAAGAGGGATAGAGTTGGGGACCTACCGATGCTAATGGGATGCGCGAGCATCCACCTCCGGGGGCAGTAGTCCACCCAAGTACATGCCCTGCTAGCTATCGAGGTCCAACAAGGGGTGGCAAGCGCAGTGGTTCTATGTGAAGAACGACGCCGCGCCCCCTTGCCGGACTTCACCGGATGCCTCATCGAAGAGGCGCGTAGGTGTGGTCATGGGGACCTCCCGAGAAGGAAAAGAAGAGGATGCGCGATATCCTTAATGCCATCGTGTTCCTAAAGATCCACGACCTTTGCGGGACGGGTGTCATTGGGGTGTATCACGCGAGGAGGGTGGTGCCGCTGATGGCGCGCGCCCTCCCGCTATACGAGATGATGCCCGGCGCGCAGCTCGATGGGACAACGCTCGCCTAGGGGATGCTCCATAATAGCGAGGTCACGCAGCGCATCAAGGAGGTGATGGAGGACTCTGACGCCGTGTTCTCGATCCTAGGACATCCCGCGATGCGGCCGGACGCGGGCTTCGTTGAGCTACCGGTGGGGTTAGGCTTTTGGGCCTCTGTCGCGCCGCTACCAGAGCACGTGGCCGTGATGGCGGTGAACCATGCCACAAATGAGAAGAGGAAGAAGGAAAAGGATGACAGGAAGGCAAAGCGCCGGGCGAAGCTGAATCGAGGAAGGGGACGGCAAGGCTCAGAGGAGGAGGAGGAAGAAGAAGATGGCTTTGGGTCACCCATGTAATGGGATGAGCTGGGAGGAGGGGATGAGGACCCGTCTCTTCTAGGTGGGGCCTTTCCTGTGGCATGCCCCAGAGCAGGGGGGGTGGACGTGCCCTCAGAGCCGATGGAATCAAACCGCACCGCTCCGTTCGGGCCTTCCTCGACGCCCTCGGAGCCGGCGGGAACCAGCCATTGCGCTTTGTCCGGGTCTTCCGAGGCGCCCCCGGAGCCGGCGGTAACCCCCTCTCCGCTTCAACCAGGACCCTCCAGAGCAGAGGGAGGGCTCGAAGCGGCAACGCGCCAATGAGGCGCAGCTGGGGTCAGGCGGCCCGACCCCAAAACGTCAACGTCCGGTGGCGTCGAGGTGAGTTAAGAGTTTTTTTCGTCCTTTCATTCTAGCAAAATTTGGCCATAAACTGATCATCATGTCCTTCACAGCGTTGGAGGACATGGGACTCTCCTAAGGCTTGCACCGAAGAAGAGCCTCGCCCTCCGATAGACGCGCCAGGAGCCAGCTGGCGTTACGCCGGAGGCGAGCGGGAGTGGCGTCGGGGCGGTCACGCCGTCGACTTGGGGGTTGCATCTGGTGGCTGCGTCCGTGGGGGAGCAGATGGAGGAGGGCAAGTCCAGGGCACTCGAGGCAAGTGTAACACGGATGGGTGTGGCCACAACATCACAGGCGAAACGACGCAGCCAGAGCCGTCATCCGCGTAGGTGGCCACAATGTCACAGACGGAAATGGCACTGCCAGAGCCATCATCCACGCAATGTCATGGACGGATGGAGGAGGACACACTCAAGGC